GAATAATAGTTTAGCTGTAGTATGTATTATACTGCTCGAATGAAAATGTACTTTTGTCTTCATTTGATTAATAAACTGATGATCTAGCCTGGCTATGGGTATACAAAAAAAAAAAAATAATATAACTTATATTTTTACAATATTGAGACAAAAATGATTTAAGTTTATCAATTTTTTCTAATGGTATGTTTGCTTAAATGAATGTTCAAACCAGATCTATATTAATCATTTCATGATCACTTGCTAAATCAACTGAATCCATAAGTATAAGATAGTATATTCTTTGTATAATTTTATTATTATTATTTTTATATGTTTTTCAGTTTTCAAATGTTGGTCAACTAAAAACTTTTTTTATGATTTACTATATAGTTGCAAAAAATACAAAATAGTTTTTTGCCTCTATGTAAAAATTTTCTTGATAAAGATCACATTCTCATTTACATTTATTAGTGGTAATGATAAAAAAAAATTGTGCTAACTGCACGGTCTGCAAAAAAAGGGCCGCATATGTATAGTGCCACCCTAACACCATATGGACCAAGGTCACGTGACGAAACAGACTGAATGGACGGCACGTGCCAAAGAACGCGTCTTTTTAATACGCGTCTCTATAATAAGCCATCACGTAATCAAAATATGTAAAAATTTTCTCATATCATAATGAAATATATAAATTAAATATCTTCTAGGCATATTAATTTCAATAAACCTGTCAATTATGATGAAATTGAGAGACTAAACCAATTTATTTTTCGCTGCCGAGAAATTGTTGTTTACTTCATTACTTCATCAATAACATCAGCTTCTAGACAAGAATATGGAGAGGTGCGTAAATAATAATGCTAACTGTATGTTTCTACAGCGAAAATTATATGAACGAAAAAGGAGAATGCTACATTTTTTTGTGGTGACTGATATTCCGATTAGAGCAGAACACTCGTCACAACCCTCCCGATTTTTTCATTTGGCAAATTTTGCACGATATATTACAATATATTGTGTGTCGGATGATGGATCAAAATCACAAATCCCGGGAAAAGATCGTACAACCCTTAACCCACGAAAGAAATTTTCGAAGCCAAAAGCAAGTTATATAATGTGGGATCACCAGAATCATCACAGAAATAAGCCGGTATGATCTAATAACAACTGCCCTCGTCCTTCGAAACCATAATCATTATCATCTTCTCATAACCGATACTAACATAGATATACTGTATATTTGCAGTTGTAGATGTCCATTAAGCTGCTTTACTAATAGCAACCAATCTATAAGTAATTATTAGTTAATAGTAGAGAAGGACACGGGTAAAAAGTAGAAACATGACCTGCGGTAAAATTATCATGCAAATTACCGCAAAAAGCACCTCGGATCCTAACAAGAGGGCACCATCTACCGAGAAATACGGTAATTGAATAATTAATATTGAGATTAAGTCAACAATTCAGTCGCATATTGGCATATTTGTCCACAGACAGTAGTATGTACTATTTGTAAACTGAATTAATGTTGGGTGAACTCGGATTTTGAATTCAGAATATAGACAAGCATATCAAATATTTTATGTTAAAACATTTCAGCATATTCATGGAGTTACAGATATTCAGTTGAAAGATACTCCTTTCAGCGTTCTTCGGAATCGTTTAATGTATAACCTAATTAATTGCAAAATTTAACAACATCTAATTTCCCGAATCGTACCCCTGAAATGTTTCGTCGGCTGCCTTTTTTACAGAAAACCCATCTTTTCCGGGCGTAAAATCGCAAACATTGTCCAGTAAATTGTCGCTTTGATTAATTTCCCGATAATATCTTAATGCCTTCTCTAAGAGACTCCTGGCTGAAATGTGAGGAAGGCGTACGGAGGCTATCGGTTCAGGATTCGTAGCAGTTCTACTTATAAGGTTACGTCAGATACAACCGAAACAGCCTAACGTGCAATAATTTGTATTTATAACTACCGTTGAATCAATGTGCTCAGAGGAATTAACCTCCCACTAATTTTAGAGTAAAGGAAATATATTAGAACATTTAGCCATGTATATATACTAAATAAGAGATTATTCTTGCCATTCACAACGATGAACTCTCGTGTCGGTCACGGTCAACGTGTTTTGGTCACTTCACGAACAGCAAATTTAGAAGTTTTCCAGATTAATCAAAAGCTTTAAACATCTAACCTGCCATCATCTGCCGAGTAAATAGCCGCTGACTCCACAGGAGTCGTGGATCTATAGGAAGGATGCTGTTTAATTAAGGAAAAAGAATTTTTCATTGTAAACGAAGCACCACCTTGATTTTGAACAGCATTGAAAGATGGATGATTTTGTTTGTTACGCCAGAAGTATTATTATATTGAGATTCTCGGATTTCATTTGACGTTGCAAATCTTCTTGGACGTTTACGTGGCACTTGACTCTCCATAAGATTGTTGACTATTACTATAAAGTTCGAGTTACCGTTGATCCAAACAAAATAATCAAAAGTACATACAGTATATTTATTTATTATAATACTGTAAATAGTTTATTTATAAACTTTTTTTTTTTTAACCCGTAGTCAGGCCAGTAAAGGGTTTTTATTAATCATTATAAAAAACGATAAAGATATACTGGGCATATATAGTGGCTAAACTAAATTATATACTGACTCTCTCATTAATAGCTTTTAGTTCTCAAAAAAGCTTCAGCTTCTAAGTTTAATCTTGAAAACAATATTTGCTTCATGCTAAATTTTGAATAAATACCCTTCTAATTTAAACATCATTGTTAGCAGATTGTTACTATCTATTATCTTCTAAGGAACTGTTTTTAAAGAAACTATTATAGGAAAAAGGAAAAACAAAAAGAAAAAAGAAAATTTAATAATATATAAATATCTTATATAAAAAAAAAAATTTTTTTTTATAAAAGCTCCATTTTTTCAAAACCTTTTTTATTAGGATTAATATTTTTAAGATATTCTTTTTCCTGATTGTTTAAGAAACTTATTCATTTAAGATTTTGATTATTTTCTTGTAATCATCTGAGGTACCTATTACTTACTTAAAATCAATATTATGCTTGATACTTTTTTTTTATCAGTATTGATTTATTATTTATTCATATACAAAACTATAGTTTATATTAGATTTCAGATTCTTATATGACTCTTAGTGATATTATATAATTCTTGATATCTTTTAGTAACTATATACTATATAATTAAAGGAATTTTGTTTTTTTATTATTCAAAAAATTAAAATTTATAACAAATTTTTTGTTTTATAAATATTGAAGATTTTAGATAGTAATAAGAATTTTTATTAATTAAAATATTATTATGCAATATCTAAAAAAATATATTTCAATTTTTGAGAAGAAAAATAACTTACAATCTCTTATTTTTTAATTTTATTATTTAATTAAAATAAAAAAACAAATTTCTTTATATATTTTGCTTAATTAGAATAATAAAAAAATAAAAACCTATGGATCTATAGCACAGTAATAGTGCTTTTAGGTCACAATTGCAAGATCCAGAGTTCAATATCACATAAGAATCATGTGCTAAAAATAACCAGGTTACATAAGGATAAGTTTTCTGATTTCCTTGTTAATTACTGGACTAAAAAAGATTTATCACAAAGATTACATAAAGAAAGGCCTCTGATCTGGTTATACAAATTATACTTGATTTAATTTTTCCTGAACTGAACATGAAATAAATCCCAAGATCCCATTTTTAAAACAATAATAATCATCTAAACATATTACTAATTTCAAACTATATCAGCAGCTTTGGGATCACACTTTTAGAACTGCAATGATTATTTAAATATTTCCTATTCCAAACTATACAACAAACTTTGAAACCTAATTATTTTAACTTAAGATATTTCAATTAGATGCTTGCTTAAATGAAACGTCTGTCACATAAAACTTATCTATAATATTATAGATAGTAACAAAAAGAATAGAAATCCTCTTTAAAATTTAAATAAAAATATTAAGATATTTGGATAATTAAATAATTCATGAGAATTTGATATTAATGTATAAGTTAGTATATATAATATAGTAAATAAAACCAATATATAGTTTTAGACTAACTATATCAACAGTACTATTAATAACTATGTATCAACTATCTAACTTTTAGATAGGTATACTCTTTTACTTAAAAGGTTTTAAGTAAATCTATCTAGAACAAGTCACAATAGATTATTATTAATCTATATATATATATATATGAGATAATGGATGTTATGTTTAAGATTTAATTATCAATAAAAAGCTCATATCTAAAACCAATTATAATTAAATAAAAAATAAAATAAAGATTTTAATATAAATAAATTATTTCTTATTTATTCTAAGAACCTTTTAATTTCTTTACTTTAATTATATATTATTTAAAAAACTAGAAAAATTTATATTAATAATTTTTTTTTTATAAATATATTTAGAATATATATATTTGCTTCCAAAAGTTTGGGTCTACTTACTATGTTTTTATTATAAATTTCAACTTTGACAATTTTTAAATCCTTAATTATACAATCAAAAATTATGAAATTCATATATATTATATCTTAATACTAGTTTTATTTATTA